TAAAAGTCTGATTTCCCTCCCCCCTTCCCCCCGCCCCCAATCTAGAGCCAAAACCAGCAGACTAGTAAAGGAATTACATAGGTCTGACTTCAATTTGTTCCAAATATGAGATTCCAGTGTGTATTGTTTTTTCCTTCCAAGAACTACCTGTGGCACTCCAGCTCCTAAATAAGATTTATTATTTCTCAGACTATAGAATCTATAATACCAGGTATTTCCAAAGAGGAATCAGACCAAGATAAACTGAAGTGGAATGGAAATGGCATGCTTGCCATTTCTTGCTGTCGACTGGCTGTCAATTTAGCTGAAGGCCGTAGTTTTGTAAGTCTAGTGAAAATGGCTAAGACAGGTAGGTACATGCTTGCACAGTCTTGCTTGTCTGTTTGAATCATCAGCAAGCATCAGTTGTTTCTTGTGTTAATGACCTTATTTTAAGTGGACTTTATTCCGTAAATCCATAGGAGCATTGTATGCAGATGGTGTGCTTGTTTTGACATAGCTGAAATGGAGAAACCTTGTTTTCCAGAGTTTTAACTGGCACATCAGAAAGCGTTTACAGTATCACAGTTTCTCATACTGTTTTGTTCACATCACACATGCCAGTTATTCTGTACTGGATTTGTGTAGTGGGGTTTTTGGTAGCAGAGGAGGGGGCTGCAGCGGTGGCCCCTGTGAGAAGGTTCTCGAAGCTCCCCCAGCTCCGAGTCGGAGCCGCCTCTGGCCAAGGCCGAGCCCATTAGTGATGGCGGCTTGCCTCTGTGATGACACATTTAGGAAGGGGGAACCTAGAAAAAGGGGTTGAGAACACCTGTGTGAACACTGAGGTCAGTGAACCAAAGGAAGAAGGGAGATAGGCTGAGCAGAAACCCCCCTCACTGCAGTCTGTGGTGAGAGGGCAGGGCCCCCCCGCGGCTCCTGGATGAGGGGCCGGGGTCAAAGCGGGAGACTTCTGGAGAGAAGCCATGAGGTTGTCGGTGAAGGTACCCTGCGGGCCTGCCCCTGGCTCGCCGTAGGAGCCGGCGGTAGACGCAGGCCCGTCCTTCCTCCGGCATGCTCAAGGTGAGCTCCGCACTCCGTGAGCATCCTAACGTGCAAGGGTTTTGCGCGTTACCGGACTCCATGCCCTTGTGAGGAGCAGAGTAGTGACTGCCCTGTTTGTTGCTAAGTCCTCCAGCAGATGTTGGGTGGGCTGTGGGGTCCCGTGGTGCCGCTGCTAACGGCCGCAGCGAAGCGAATTGTGTGAACGAGTTCAGCGTCCCTCCCTGTAACCCTCTGCTTCAGTGGTACAGATGATGAGCATTTCAGTATGACTACCAGAAATGATACTGTAAACGCTTTCTGATGTGCCTTGTGCTTAACATGTTCTCCTTATCCTCTGCATCTAAAAACTAATTTCACATAACCTAATGAACATGAGGAGAATCTTCACAGTGAAGGTAATTAAATATCAGAACAGGTTGCCTAGAGAGGCTGTGGGGACTGTATCATCCACTTGAGTGGATGAGGCCTTCAGCAAACCGGACCTGCTTTGAATTGGGGGGGACAGGGGAGGAGTGGATAGAATTACCTCCAGAGGCCACATGTAAGCTATTACTCTAATTACTCTGTTCCTTTCTTTGAGAGGAAGGGAGATTGTTTCAAGACTTAAATATTTACTCTGTCAGTTTGACTACACCTGTTAGTGCTCTGAGCTTCTCACAATTTGAGTTGATGAAGAAATAATTATTGATTGCAAAACAAATTAACTTTTCTTTTCTAGAACCTTCCATTTTCTGTGGAGAATAAATGGCGATTACTCGTCTTAATGTGTGGATTCTTTGGAAGTGGATTTGCGGCCCCTTTCTTTATAGTCAGACACCAGCTTCTTAAGAAATGAAGAGAGACTGCAATTGCTCTAACTGGGTAACTTTATTTTGTTAAGATTTCATAGCATAGTGAAATCTGTAGTCAAAACTGAGCTTTAAAGAGCTTATCCTTATGTAAAACTTACTAAAATTTTCAGCCTTTCCCAGTCTAGGTGCTTAGAGTTGTGGTCTGTAGTTTCTTGTAAACTCAAATTATAAATACGTTTGTTTGTTTCACAGGGCTGCAGCATTCTTTGACTTATGTACTTCAACTCCCCGAAGGCCACACCTCTGCAGCTTTTTGATAGGTTACAGCTGGGCTAACTGACAGAAGAGTGCTACTGATTTGAATAATAACTATAACCAAAACCATGTCTGCTGCCTCCTTTGAGGAAAAATAAAGCTGCACTTGATGTAATCTGTAGGAATATGTTGTGGTTTGAGCACCACACAGCTGCTCACTCACCCCTTCTCCCACAGGAATGGGAAGGAGAAAATAAAAAGGCTCAGGAATTGATACAGGGACGGAGAGGGATGACTGACTAATTATGGTCATGGGCAAAAGATAGAGTCACCAGGGGAAGAAAATGAATGTCAGTTTAATTCAAATGCCAACAACAATGTCACTTAGCATATACAGAGTGGGACGGCAAGAAGCATTACCACATCTTAAAAATACCTGCCCCTATCCCTCCCTTCTTCACTGGCTTAGTTTTGTTCTGATCTTTTTACCTTCTCCTGCTGCAGGGGCAGGGTATGGGGGTTATGGTCAGTCCTGCTGCTTCTTCCTCCTCAGGGAGGGGGAGGACTCCTCACATTCTGCCCTGCTCCAGCGTGGTTCCCCTCTCTCAGCAGACAGTTCTCTGTGACCCTTCTCTGAGCTGAGTCCTTCCCCCGGGCTGCAGCTCTCCCCAAGCTGCTCTGGCGTGGGTCCCCCCCACATGCTGCAGCTCTCCCGGCACAGAACTACAAGAGCGGGGGCTGCTTCTCCCCTCAGAGTCCCGGCCTCCTTCGGGCGCAGCCGCCTGCTCCGCTGTGGGCTCCTCCAGGGGCTGCAGGGCGGCATCTGCTCCACCGGTGCCCTCCGTGGGGGCAGGGGGGGCCCTGCCCTCTCACCACAGACTGCAGTGAGGGGGGTTTCTGCTCAGCCTATCTCCCTTCTTCCTTTGGTTCACTGACCTCAGTGTTCACACAGGTGTTCTCAACCCCTTTTTCTAGGTTCCCCCTTCCTAAATGTGTCATCACAGAGGCAAGCCGCCATCACTAATGGGCTCGGCCTTGGCCAGAGGCGGCTCCGACTCGGAGCTGGGGGAGCTTCGAGAACCTTCTCACAGGGGCCACTGCTGCAGCCCCCTCCTCTGCTACCAAAAACCCCACTACACAAATCCAGTACAGAATAACTGGCATGTGTGATGTGAACAAAACAGTATGAGAAACTGTGATACTGTAAACGCTTTCTGATGTGCCAGTTAAAACTCTGGAAAACAAGGTTTCTCCATTTCAGCTATGTCAAAACAAGCACACCATCTGCATACAATGCTCCTATGGATTTACGGAATAAAGTCCACTTAAAATAAGGTCATTAACACAAGAAACAACTGATGCTTGCTGATGATTCAAACAGACAAGCAAGACTGTGCAAGCATGTACCTACCTGTCTTAGCCATTTTCACTAGACTTACAAAACTACGGCCTTCAGCTAAATTGACAGCCAGTCGACAGCAAGAAATGGCAAGCATGCCATTTCCATTCCACTTCAGTTTATCTTGGTCTGATTCCTCTTTGGAAATACCTGGTATTATAGATTCTATAGTCTGAGAAATAATAAATCTTATTTAGGAGCTGGAGTGCCACAGGTAGTTCTTGGAAGGAAAAAACAATACACACTGGAATCTCATATTTGGAACAAATTGAAGTCAGACCTATGTAATTCCTTTACTAGTCTGCTGGTTTTGGCTCTAGATTGGGGGCGGGGGGAAGGGGGGAGGGAAATCAGACTTTTATTCAATTTGAGTACTTAGAAGTGTATGATTTCATGTAAGTTAAGGCGTCTGTTACAAAAGCACATGGTAGATAAAGCAAAGCCTATCAAATTTCTAGTTAAGCATACATTTACAGCTTTTCTAGATTCAGAGGTAACACAGAGTTCTTAGATGTATTATTTTGTATTTTCTTGCAGAATTGAAGGCGGCTGCACGGCATCTTCCAGTGGAAAAATGATAGCTGCAACTGTGTGCCATGCTGGATGCATCTAAATAAAATCTTAAGTCTGAAGGTCTTGGGCTGTCTATTTTGTGAAACTCCTGAAATCCGTTTGACAGCTGTTGTATACTGAGAACCCTTTTAAATTACAGTGTGTTGACATTAAATGAAACAGTAATTGTCTATATAAAAATTAGAGGGTGGGAAAACTTGCATTTCAAAGCTGAAGTTTCCCAACTTAACATTTTTTAGCTGGGAAAATGTTTAAATAGCTTTACTGAGCTATGTGGTCTCAACACTCTTCAGACTGCTCACAGAGTAATGACTTCAGGCAGATTATAACCAGTGAGCATATGCTGTCACCATAATCCATGCTGCAGAATTTTATCTTTCATATTTTGGGTTGATCAGTTGAGAACATCTTACTTGGCTTTTCTTCCACACTTTGCTGTTCTAAAGAGCTGCCATTGGGAGGTCTGTGTGGTGTGCTGCATTGGTGTTGCTATGAGCAGGAACATACACATCACTCTGCAGATATTATTAGGCTTCAGGCTGAGATGGAGAGGTAGCCTGAAAAATGAGTACAGCAGCAATAACTGCAACTCTGACCAGAAAAAGTATTGGTAGTGATCTACGGCTTACCATAACTCCAATATTGCTGTAGATTTGTGGCTGTTTGGAAAGATAGCTTTCAGTTTGTAGCTGTAGTTTTAGCACAGGGGCCTAACACTGAGGCCTGAGTAATTAAAGGTAATCTAGGAGCTGTGATGGATGCTGTTAGGATGCTTCTACCAACTTGAATATGACATATTTAATTCAGTGCCCGGTTGACATGAATAGAAAGTTATTTTCACATCCATTTCTACTGCAACCATCTTGTTGGCTAAAGACTATATGAAAAGCCCTGGTGTAACCCTCTAATGTTTACTTATCACTTGCAAATAATGCTGTTTAGTGGCAAGTATTGAGTTGCTTCCCTTCGGTGAGGTTTTCAGGTTTACTTTTTTCCCCTAAAACACCCTCCTGGGTAGCATGGTGCATTTAATGTGGCTTGCAACATCCCAATCCATGAACCGAATGGTTTCACAGAAGTTGAGGTTCTGTTGGTATAGGTCAAATCTAATTAAATAGTTTGTCCTCAGACACCACCAGCAGAAGTGGATACAAGAGCAATAAAATACTGCTTCTAACAATAGCTTTTGGGTAACATATTTCTGTTTTTTAGGGGCAGCTTTAAAGTGCTGTCTAGTGTTTGAAGACCCTGAGCTGGGAGCAAGACAGTAATACTGTCTGTTGCTGCAGCTTCTTCTGTAGACTTGAAAGGAAGCTTGAAGCATGGTGATTTTGATCAAAGGATCAGCAAAGGCTGCAGAAAAGTGATAACGAAGAAAGCAAGGTTGAGAGGAAAGACCCCAAATTGTAATGGATACAAGTAGTAAGAATGCTTTATGGCTGTGACTCAGGTATAATTATACAGTATAATTTGTTTCTTAGTGTTCATTCTGTCTGCAGAGTAATGCCTCAACAGAGATTTAGAGTGTTTCTCGTAGGTCAGTGTGTGTGCACTGTAGGGGATAGGGGAACAACGTGCTGGGACAACTAGGGAATCCAGAAAAGGCAACAATTCCTTGGTCTAGCATTGGGATTTCCTGGAAGAACTTGGGTACTATAAAAAAATATCCATCTTTTTCATGCAGATAGCAAAATGTGAGCTCTTAGGTGACAAAATCTCATTTGCCTCTTGTTGCAGATGAGCAATCAAATGTCTGTTGCATGAGGCAAATCTGGAAGCTTGTTACAGAACCACGTTTCTCTTAGGGATCACAGTTGTAACTTCCACTGTGTATTTATTTGTAGCTTGCTGTTTGCTCTTAAGTTAAATAACTTGGTTTGGTTGATTTTTCCCCTTACTCCCAAGTCCTTGCTGTGTTTAAAAAGAGTAAGCATAATCTCTGAAGGTTTACCTTATGGGCTAGGCAAACCATTTCCTTTAGTCTGTTATAAATAAGGTGTCCTTTCTGAATATTGCCCCTTCTCAGTGCTTTTTCTATTTAAATATATTTTTACACATGGGTGATTAAACTTAAAACAGTTATTTTTAAATTAAATGTTAGAGACTTTCTCCTCTCATGATGTATTCTAAAACTGTAATCATCGTTTTTCAGAATGTCATTACATTGATGGATCATAGTCATTTAGAAGCGGAGAGGTCCTGGGGGCTACTACTTAAAAGAAGTTTTCAAACTGACCCCATTTCCAGCCCTGCCACCAAGTTATAAAAATTACTGATGTGAATCACAATACCCATAACCTTTCATCTCCTGCTGTTTTACTTATTTTCTATTACTGCAACTGTAAGGCCTACTCTGGGGGATGATCTGAACCTCCACTGTGCTGATGGTTGTCTTCTAGCTTTTACCTACTGTATGTTCCCACTCTTTGTGTGCCGGTAAGAGCCTTAGAAAAAAACTAAACTACATCAGCCCTGCTTTGGATAAGTTAGCTGACTTAAGCGTATCATGTTAGTCATAAACTCTCATTTGATAAACCCATGTTCATGGTGTCCCATTAGTAATCTTTCCTTTAAAAAGAAAGTTAAGTACAAATTTGTAGCCTTTTAACTCTAATCTGCTTAGTTAATTCTTTCAATATTTCATGAGTATAGGTTAAATACACTTGCTGGTTTTGATCTGTGCAGCTCTCCCATTTGTTAGCTTGTATTTTTAATACAACACCTGCACACATATGAGTAGCCATATTCTCCATTCATTGCAAATTCTGTGTTATTCTTACATGCTGGCAAAGCTGTAATTAGTCCCTCTAGAATTGGACTATTTCTCTACATGACTTGCTTGGGCAATTTTCAGTAATTTTCAAGCCCCGTCAATTATCAAGTCCGTAAGTTCTCTGTCTGACTTAAGTAATTGGTTCCCTTAGGTTTTTAGAACTTTCACTTCTATAATAAAAACACATTAACAGATCTGGTTTGATCTGTCTTTCTATTAACGCAAACTGGGACAGTGCATTCTACTCAAAGGCATTTTTTACTACTAGATTATCTTTAATCTCTTCACTGTTCAATAAAGGAAAGTCTAAAATACTTCATTTGGTTGCTTGGGTGGAAAATACTGATTGTCATTGAGAGATACGCGGCTCCTATCATTAATGCCAGATGTTTGACAGTGTTTAATTTCACAGAGGCACAACTCCAGATTGTATTTATTTCTCTGCTGTTATAAGAAGATCACTGCTTACAGCCAAGGTTGATTTTAGGACCACATGTCAGAGCCTGGAGCACCTTCCCTCTTCAACCTTATTTATCTGTTTATTTATTTAATTGCTACTCCCAAATTTATGCTGGTCTTAATCTCCTGTTTTACCCATTGCATGGTTTCTTATTTAAGTCCTCCTACTTTTTTATTTGTTTATTGACTGCTAATGAGGTAAACCAGAGAATCTTGGTAGTTATTTGAAATACAGATATCACTGTGGTCTCTCTCACCTCTAACCTTCCGTGCCTAGCTCTACAAGGTGAAAAACCTGTTCATAGCAGCAAAATGCTAGGGCAGACCAACTTACCTCTGATGGGAAACCCTATGCTGTTCTCAGGGAGCAATGGTGTGAATAAAGTAACTTCCAAAAAAATGTCCAATTTAAAATATTAATGCATGACTTCAAGAGGTGTTGAGCCACTGCGTCTTCTATTTACTTCAGATAAATGGGACTAGCCCGGCTCTACAGCCTGACAAGCCCTACTCTGTCATCCCACAGCACAATAACTAACCTGATGGGGATAGGTTAGCCGATTTTGTACCATATTAAATATCAAGTGTTTGTTGACCTCAGAAGAACCAGAATCTCATCCAGGGATGACTTCTCTAAGCACAATCCCATCACAGATCAACATGGAAATAACCCAGCTGTAGGTGATTCCAGAGATGGAGGTTTCACTGTACATATGTAAGAACAAACTGACATCTAATGGTAATAAGTGGGATCAGATCAGATTCACTAAAAAACAGGAGTTCTAGAATTAAGTTGTTCAAAACATAAAGAGTATGTTCCCTCACACTCAGCTATATAAAAGTCTGAGTACCCAATGAAATATTTATTTTTAAAATAGCCTTTTGGGTTCCCTATAGGGCACCTTGACTTGGTAGAAGATAAATCAATTTAAAAACAAGAAGTAGAAAAATAAAACAGGCTTGATGTTACAGGCAAAAAGCAATATGTAAGTGCTGCTTCTCTATCATTAAAATTCTATGAAGGAAACAAGATGGTGGTTAAAGGACATCTGGGAAATAACACATCTGTGTGAATGATAGTATGTTTTGCTTGCTAGATGCCAACTTCAAGGAAAATCTTTTTTTGTCCCTGACACTTTTTCCAGTTTTCTTGTTATAATTTTCTCCTTCACAAATTCTGTTGGCTTAAAATCAAAATAGTTTGACTTTGTTTCCAGAGAGGTTCACGCTTCAGCATTTTAATTGTTAGGTATCAGCAGTCTTTAAGCAGTTTCTCAATTAAATCTAAGCAGACGTGATTTAGATGTCCTTATGTTTTAATATTTGGAATGTTTCCAGTTTGGGGATCTTTCTTTGTCTCATTTCATAAACACAGCTGAACATTCACAAAATCTTTATCAAGTGTTCTGAAGCTATCAAATGAAGTCTTTCAATGGAGAGGGGAAGCGGGAGCGTATCAGAGGTTAGAAATTTTTAGAAATAACAAATTATGCATGTTTGACACAAATGGGATGGCAAAGCAACGCTTCACATGTTTTCTCTACATGTTTATATTAAATCTCAGAGATGCACAGAGGCAGCTAATTCTTAATCAACCTGATCAATAAAACTCAGTGTTGACAACTGCAAGGTGATAGTGGAGCAATTTAAATTCTCGTTGAGGTGGTGTATCCTGAATGAACTGTGATCACTCAGGCAGAAGATGCCATTGCAGACTGCTGAAGGAAAACATCTGCTCAGAGTACAGAGGCAATCAGAAAAGGAAGGCAGATGTTAACTTCTTCTACAGGAAGGGATGGAAAGAGTAATTGCAGATATCACAGTGCT